GGGGTGCTCGTCCTGAGGACACTATTTCTAGGGGTGCTGGAGCTCGAGGTGCTAGTTCTGAGGAGACTGGAGATGGCGGCACTTCTACTCTGGAACCTACCCCACCTCCCCACCGCTGTTATAGTCACAGTAGGCTTCACTGTGCCTAAAACGAAAGATAGAGTGCACAGTCGGATTTTTGCACAGCAGCTTTAAACGTTCATAGCGTTCTGGTCACAACTTCAAATGACCTGATTCAACTTGGATCTGGAGCGCAATTTAGATCGCACGATTTCACCAAGTATTGACGATACAGCGTCGGTTTGAACGAACGGCACTATGGCAGCCACTATAGTCTTAGAACACAAGATAGGAAGAGTTACGAGTTGGGGATGACTCCCAGCTCCTACAAACCCCAAGAGCCGAGGTACAGTGATGTGGAACAGTGCCACACTGTCCCCAACCAAGAAGGGTCTCGAAACTACCCTCCACAAGGGTCTACACCAACATAAATATTACACTACACATTGTAATGTAACTATCTTCAACATCTTGAAGTGTACCCTTTTGGCGAGCTTCAAAATCACTTGAGGCTTGACATCAAGGCTCGGGCTCTTCATCACAAACTCATCCTTGAGTTCTTGATGGGTCTGCTACACACACCTGCGACACGCCAAACGTTGGACACATGACAAAATAGAAACCGCGCGAGACACACAAACGACGAAATAGAAACCGCGCGGGACACACAAAATGACCGCGTAACACGCGACTAGCGATAACTCGCTATTGACTCGACACACACACACTCGACACCATGACTCATCATTCACACACTATTATAAGCATGAAACATATATTGTCCCATGCCCTCATACCATTCCATGCACACACGCATGCACGCACACGGACAACAAGCCGAGTGCGAACCGTAGGGTTGCACCAACAACTGCTACCCGGCGAGTTTTCAGAGGCTTCGTCAGCTGGAGCGCGAGGAGCGGTTGTGGTTGGAGCAGAAGAGGCTGGGGCTGGAGCGGCAGCAGCAGGAGCTACAGCAGCAGGAGCAGCAGCAGGAGCAGCAGTAGCAGCCGCAGCAGCTGCCGCCCTTGCAGCCGTTGTTTCCACCTTTGAGTGGCCTTCGGGCCCTTGGAGTTCCTTCCTCTCCTCCAGACTGCTCACTTTCTCCGCCTGCTTACGGTCCTACGTTACCCCCAACGGACTTTTCTCCGGCTGTCTTCTCTCCTCCTCGGTCACAGTCGTCTCCTCCTCTTGTCCCGCATGACTAGACAGTGCGTTGTCCCGCTCGTGCACGTCCCTCGTCTCCTTCTGACAACCTCCGCACTATCTTACTATGTTCGAGTCCTCGTCGTTCTCCACCTCAGTCTGTTCCCCCGTCAACTCCTGAGTCGTCTCTTACAGCCTCCACCTCTACCCCTATCACTGACAATTACCGTGCCACCCGTCTTGTTGTCACTCGTGTTCTCGCCTCTCTAGTCACGGACCCTCGTGCCTCTCCGTCCTCTGTCTCGGCTCTTTCTGCCACTCTCGCTGACTATGCCACCACTCGTCGCCTTGACTACGCCACCCGTGTGGTAGCTGCCCGTCCTCTGTCCTTGGCTGTGACGTCCTAGAGGACAGGCAGTTTGAGCTAGAGTTCTTGGCGGCCGCTTCTCCCCATCTCTGTGCCATGCTGCTAGCTCCTGAGGAAGACCACGACGCCCTGGACATAACGAATCCTCTCACGTGTCAGGGCAGTGGGCTTCTCAGTGGATTGCGGCCATGGAGTCATAGAGGTCCACTCTGGGCTACTGCTTCAGCTCGGACACTGGAGCTGTATCATGGAGGTCTACTTGGTCATCTTCTGTGGCTTCGTCTAGTGCTAAGGCAGAGATCTACGCGGGTGCCATGGCTGCGCAGGAGCTTCGCTGGTTGATTTTCTTGCTCACCGACCTTGGTGAGCGGCCTCGCTCTGCACCGACCTTGTTCGCTGACAACAAGGTCATGATCCTCTTGTGTCGAGAGCCTCGACTGGAGAGCAGATTGAAGCACATTGACGTGAGGTACTTTCTCCTGCTAGAGTTGCAGCGACGTGGCCAGGCACGCTTGGACTTCGTGGCGTCAGATGCCAACACTGCAGACATCTTCACCAAGGCCCTTCCGCCTGGTGACCACCATAGATTCTGCTTGCAGTTAGGCCTTGTTGACGTAGGCTCTTGAATACAGCAATCTTGTCTCTTGTTGCTTGCTGCATTTCTATATATGTCTGCGAAATTTTGAAATGGCCTTGTGGCCTCTCATTTGTGCTCAGAATGTGTGGTGACTTCGTGATCCACCCTGAGCTTGCTATGTTTCTTTTCTTGACTGGTCTTGTGGCCACATGCATGTCATGATGCCCCTCACTTAGCCTATGGAGGTGTGACAAACTATATTTGTAGATATAGATATGCTCTAGTGAGTTGCATGTTAGGGGATACAAAACTTTTTCGACAATTTGGTTGTATTCCCTCCTTTGACCTAGTCTTATCATTCTCTCGCTACTCAAGCAACTAGGTTCTTAAGACAGTGGACCTCTGATAAATCCACCCTGTAAAACCCCATCCACATCAGGATTCAATTTCAAGGCGGCGAAGAAGGAGCTGAGGAGCTTCTGTCACATCTTGTCACGTCATCACAAGGGGGAAGATTTCCACCAGGGACTTCAAAGCATGCTGAAGAGCAGAGATTGGCGACGCAACTATCCAAACCTGATGACACTGTGGCAGGCACTCGGTGTGATGCCACTGAGAACAGTTGAGTGTGAGCGAGGATTCAGCCGCCATAATATCATCAAAAGAGGATGCGCACTCCACTGTGCGATGCACGCATTGGCGACCTCATGACGCTGCAGATGCTCAAGTACCCGTTGTCAAAATAGCCACAGCCTTAGGAGCCATGGCAAGTAGGAACGTGAGTGACGAGAGAAGAGAAGGGGTGTTCAATATGGAAAGGCAGCACAAGATATAACATGGCAAGGTGGGGAAAGGGGGTACACCACCAAGGAATAGAAGAGAATAATGATGTTACAGTAACTAGATTGTATGCGGTTATATAAAGAACATGATTCTTAACATCCCCCCTTAACTGCATGCAAGCGTTGCCAATGAAGGGCTGTCACCCAAAGTGCTGCAGTCACCGACCGAAGCTGAGTCCACCACGGTTAAGTACCACGGCATGTGCCCGCCTACGATTTAACCCCTGCAACGGGTGCCGATGTGCCCGTCGGGGGCGACCATGCCCAAAAACGACAGTAACAATGAGGAGGAAGGGTAGTGAGAATGATGCAGCGGAAGGTAATTGGGGAACGAGAGAGAAACAAAAACAAGATGCTCTTATCCCCCCTCAACCTCTCACCCTCCTCCCCCCCAACAGCAACAAGTGCTGCATGTCAGTAGATCTGCACTGTGGATGCCCGATTGATCCTAGGGGGGTTACAGGCGCGTTCGCCTTGGGGGTTATGGGCGCACTCTGACCCGCTACTTAACAAGCCCTTTCATGATAAGAAACGAGGAATGAGAGTGACTAAGGGAAAGTTGGGTACAAATGCAAACCCTAGAAAACTGTACCCCATATGTGCTACCCCACTATAGCCTACAGTGGCTCTGTCATATAAATCTGACACTGCAGGGAGAGAGGAAAAGAGAGGGGAGGGACGGGCAGTTGGCTGGTCACACCCGCCAACCCCACATCTCCCCCCCCCCACGGCGGAAGCCTCGGAAGGGAGGGGGGGCGGCGTCAGCTGCTGCTGGCACTGGCGCTGTCATCTGCGCTGGCGGTGGGCGCTGGTGATGGCGCTAGCGTCCGCCGCTAACGCTGGCGCTGGTTGCTGGCGGTCGCGAGCGCCAAAGCCTGCGCCTGCGCGTGGCTGTGCGCGGTTGCGCGCAGCTGTACGCGGCTGCGTGCAGCAATGCGCGGCTGCGCGCAGCTTTGCGCGGCTCTGCGCCCGTGGCTACCGGACGGGACGGGTCGGGGTAGCGCGGGACGGGGCGAACAGCGCGCGGGAAGGGTATCGCGGGGCGGGCAGCGAGCGAGCGCCTTAACGGGTCTACAGCAACCATGTCTTAAAAAAAGGTGAATATCGTAGGTCCTTAGGAACGTGGCTCTGATACCATGTCAAAATAGCCACAGCTTTAGGAGTCATGGCAAGTAGGAACGTGAGTGACGAGAGAAGAGAAGGGGTGTTCATTATGGAAAGGTAGTACAAGATATAGCATGGGAAGGTGGGGAAAAGGGGTACACCACCAAGGAATAGAAGAGAATGATGATACTACACTAACTAGATTGTATGCGGTTATATAAAGAACATAATTTTAACACCCGTATGTCTGGCCCAGGGCTAGTTTTATCATTGTAAATCACCCTGATACCCTGATAATCAGGGTGGTTTTTGGTAGTCACACTGATGGTCCGGGGTAATTTTTTTAGGAGTCAGGATTCTCCTGATGTGCCAGGGTTTACATTTAAGGCACATTGATGACTAAGGGTTCCCGTTTCCCATAACGAGTTTTACCCTGAAGCGAGTTCCATACCCCCCACCCCTCCGCCCCCCCAGTTCCCCCACCCCCCCTCTCCCGTATCCCAGGATTCCCGAATCCCGATTGCCAACTATCGAAACTATAATTTCGGCCTTGACAACGCATGTGCAGGCACAAATTGGGCCACCATTGGCCAAACTTACAGTTTCTTTGTAGGCAGCGCCACCGACTCAGGTCGGTTTGTTTGTCTAACAGGACAATACGACCGGGTTAGCTGGAAACTTGGTTGAGTGCAGCAGAATGTCGGCGCCCACTAGCCCACTGGGCACCGCGTTCTTTGCACGACTGTGGGTGGCTCTGCAGTTCGTTTGCGTGCACGTTAGGAAACACATGCGCTGGGGACTGGGGGCACGAGCACGATTGAGGTCTCACCTTTGGTAGAGAGAGACCTCACTCTCACTTGGGCTTACCATCAGAGGTAGGCGTTTCTCCTGAGACACACGAGTAGCCATGGCTCCTACTGAGGACGTTGATGGTGAAGCTGCTGACGAGCCACCTAACGATGCTCCCGCGCGGACGGGCTTAGATTTCCTGCGAGGGCTGCATGCGAACCCTCCGCCTGTCTGCACGGCAGGCCCGTCATCCTGCAGCAATGAAAAGTAGCCTCCTGCTATTCCTTCTTATTCTAATGCCGTCGCGCCGGACAGTGCTCCCGCCTCTGTCAGCGTCACAGAGGTTGGCGAGTCATCGTCTGCTGCCTTGAAGAAGAGGCATCGCTACGCGCAAGCCGTTCTCCCATTCGGCACGCCCCCTGCGATACTGGCTCCGCCTCCCGCACCCGTCGAAGCTCCCAAGCGTGTGTCTCGTGAACTCACGAAAGCCGAGAAGGCAGAGGAGAAGTTTCTGAAGGTGCAGCATCTATACATCACGCAATGGCTGCCGAAGTTTGACTGGCTGCTACTTGACAGGAACGAGGAGGGCCTGCCCATACTGCGATGCAGTATATGCGTGGAGCACGGCAAGGACGACGTGAAATTTGGACGCAACGGAACGGGGGGACGCGATCTGCAGCTCGGATCGATGCGATGTCACGAGCTGAGCGGCCGCCACGACGTAGCCATGAAAAGGCAGCGGACGCTCATGGCGGAGATCGAGAAGCAGAAGAGAATCGACGATTTCGCCAACACCGACAAGGAGGGCGCGCGGCTCACTTGTCTCATGCGCGGCGTGGAGTTCATCTGCGACCATGACGCCCCGATCGCGATGTACACGAAGCTCATAGAATTTCTCGCGAAAGAGGGATTCGCAGACATCCCGCTTCAGTCCTATAGGGTGTACATCACATAGTAAGTCTACGTTTGTTGCTGTGTTTTGATTGCTTGGTTTTCAAATTTGTAGCTGCGCATCCATCTAATCTTTTACCTCACCCACGGCTTGTGGCAGGTACGGATTCAACGAGATGGCGTCGGTGATGGCAAAGTACCAGAGAACTCAGCAGCTGCAGCATCTTCTTGCGTCACCATTCGTCGGCCTTATCTGCGACGAGAGCACCGATCGCGCGCGTGGCAAACACTTGATTGTGTTTGCCACCTTCCTCAAGAACGGCGTATCCGTCATGGGGTTTCTGGCGCTGCTGACGGTGCATAAGTGCGACGCGTCGTCGATTTTCACCGTGCTCACTAGCCACCTGGACTCGATCGGTGTAGACATCAAGCGGGTGGCCGGCATGGGCACCGACGGTGTTGTGTGATGACGGGGGATAAGAGCCGACTCGTATGCCGCTTGCAAGAGCGCGTGCCTCATCTCGTCGGATGTCACTACGTAGAGCATCGGTAAGAGTTGGTTTGTTGTATTTGATATTTTTGTGCTCTAGATGCATTTTAACCAATACTCTGGAGATACTAACCAACCTTCTTGATCTGTTGCAATGAGGCGCTCGTGGTCAAGGATGCAGCGAAAGCATTCCCAGACCTTAACATGATTGATGCTGCTGTGCGTGCTGTGGGAGAGATCATTTGCCGCTCTAACATTTGGTACGAGAGGTTCAAGGAGCTGCAACAAGAGATACTCCGAACCAACCTCGAACACCAAGGACTGTTCAGCGTCATATAGCTGTCGCGGGGAGACGCTATAGCGAGGCCGTGCAGAGTTTTTGGGGCGGCGATCGTCGTGATTGTGGAGTAGCGGCACAAGATAGCTGCAACCGTACAAATGTTTAGATTTCACTTCTGCTTGTACTTCCTCGCAGATATTCTTGCAGAACTGAACGCGCTCAACCGGTTCTTCTAGCACCGCAATGCAAGTGTGTCTTTAAGAGTGTAAAAGATTGCTAATAAATTTTGCAGTTGCTAACATGTTTGACGTGCCCGGTGTTTTACAGGTGGACACCACACAGATCGCAAAAGAAGTCGACCACACGATCACCATCATCACGCACCGGTACATCCAGTACAGCGAGACATTTGGCGGCGGGGACATCAAGCTACATTCCAAGTTCATCAAAGAACACCGAGATGAAAACCGGACGGTGGTGGTTAATGGGATTGACGCGGATGAGCAGCAAACAACACACAAGTTCGAGGTGAGCAAGAGACCCATCAAGAAGCACAAGTTCGGGGGCACGCTTGGGGACTGTGCACGGGTTTCGCGAAGGAGATCGTTGCAAGAATGAAGTACCGCATGTGGGACTTGCAGCAGATGGGCGGCGCGAAGCTGTTTCAGGTTGAATCGTGGCCATCCAGGGAGGACCAGCGCGGATTAAATAGCCTCGAGTTGATGGCGGCAAACAATGAGCTGTTTGGCGGCATGCTCCCAGGTGAGGACAGATTTATTACTTGCTTTCGATTCCGCTTGCACACTGCATGTGACAGTGCCACTGTACCAGACAACCAATGCCCTTTAATTCCACCGCCCCAAACCCCATCCACGTCAAGATTCGATTTCAAGGTGGCGAAGAAGGAGTTGAGGAGCTTCTGTCACATCCTGTCACGTCATCACGCGGGGGAAGATTTCCACCAGGGTCTTCAAAGCATGTTGAAGAGCCGGGATTGGCGACGCAGCTATTCGAACTTGATGACACTCTGGCAGGCACTCGCTGTGCTGCCACTGAGGACAATGGAGTGTGAGAGAGGGTTCAGTCGCTAGAACATCATCAAGAACTGAATGCGCACATCGCTGTGCGATGCACGCCTTGGCGACCTCATGACGCTGCATATGCTGAAGTACCCATACGTCTGGCCAGACGTGGTCGACATATGGCGCAAGCAGAAAACTCGAAGGTTGTCAAAATCTATTACGCATGCGACTCCTGTGGACTGGAAGGGGAAACAGAAAGCTCCAGAGCCAGAAGAGGAAAGTTGTCAAATTTATATGTTGCTTATTGTGTAGGCTGTAGTGGGGTAGCCCATATGGGGTACAACACAATTAGGGTTTCCTACTTGTACCCATCCTGCTGCTAGTTCATCCATTCCTCGTCCTAGTTTCTGACATGGTATCAGAGCAGGTCCTGTTCCAGGACCGTCTTCTGTAGCACCCACCGACTAGTTTCTGCCCGTGGCACCTTTTTTTCGTGCCCTACTCTGCCCTCCGTGCTGCCCCACCCATCGCGCCGCCCTAGGACCCGTGCGACGCCCTGCCCTACCTGTAACGTCGCCCTAGGACCCGCGCGACGCCCTGCCCTGCCCGTTGCGACGCCCTAGGACCCGCGCGACGCCCTGCCCTAATCGTCGCGTCGCCCTAGGACCCGCGCGACGCCCTGCCCTACCCGTCGCGTCGCCCTAGGACCGCTGTTTCGCGCTGTTCGCACTGGTCGTCGTGTTCCGCGTCAGCGTCCTCCTCCTGTCCCCGGCACGCACCAGATAGCGCTTCGTCCTTCCTCTGTTCCACTGCGTGTCCCTCTGCCGTCTCCTCCTGCGTCCTCCCTTGCTGACGGTCCGGACCCGGAGTCTGACTCCCTTCGTGTTGTTAGTCCTACTGTCACGTGTCTCCTGGCCACTGTTGTCACTGACCTTTCCTTTGAGTCTACTGCTGCGTCTGCTCTTGTTGCTGAGCTGGTTGCCTTTTCTGCCGCTTGTCATCTAGACTACGCCGCTAGTCTTGTTGCTGAGTCAGAGTCTGTCTGTCCTCCGTCCGTCGGGGGTGAGTGTGCTCTTGGCAAGGACGTCCTTAAGGACAGGCAGGAGGACTTTGAGTGTACCTCATCTCGTGTCCATGCTGATTGCACCTGAGGGAGACCCGGATGCACCAGACATCCCGACCCCGCGCTCTTACGCAGAGGCGATAGAGGATCCCTACTCCTCACAGTGGCAGTCAGCCATTTGAAGTCAGAGATGGCATCCTGGAAGTCCACAGGCGCCTACTTCGACGAGGTTCCCCCACCTCGGGCGAACATCGTCAGTGGCATGTGGATTTTCAGGGTGAAGCGGCCGCCGGGTTCTCCGCCTGTCTTCAAGGCGCGTTACGTTGCACGAGGCTTCAGTCAGCAACAGGAAGTTGACTTCTTTCAGACCTTCTCCCCTACCCCGAAGATGACCACTCTTTGGGTATTGATGCACGTTGCCGCTCAGCGTACGAGCTTCACTCTCTTGACTTCAGCACTGCTTTCCTACAGGGCAGCCTGCACGAGGAGATCTGGCTGCACCGCCCACCTGGCTTCACTGGGTCGTTTCCTACAGGTTCCCAGTAGAGCCTCCGGCGGCCAGCCTACGGTCTCTGCCAGGCGCCTCGCGAGTGGCACGACATGCTGAGGACGACTCTTGCGGCACTTGGGTTTGCTCCTTCTACTGCTGACCCGTCGCTGTTTCTACGCACCGACACTTCGCTTCCGCCGTTCTACATCCTCGTGTACGTCGACGACTTGGTCTTTGCCGCTGCTGACACTGCTGGATTGGCCCACGTAAAGTCGGAGCTGCAAAGGAGACCTAGGTGAGCTGCGCAGCTATCTTGGCTTGCAGATCACCCGGAACAGAGCACAGCGCACCATTACTTTGACTCGGTCACACATGGTGCAGCAGGTCGTTCAGCGCTTCGACTTCCAATAATCCTCGCCACAGGCCACTCCTCTGCCTACCGGTCACTCGCTCTCAGCTCTGCCTTCGGATGAGTCCGTAGAGCCGAGTGGCCCGTATTTAGAGCTTGTGGGCTGCCTCATGTACCTGATGACCTGCACTCGACCTGACCTTGCTTACCCTCTTAGCATCCTGGCACACTACGTTGCGCCCGGGAGACACCGACCAGAGCACTGGAAGGCCGCTAAGTGGGTGATGAGCTACTTGTGCAGCACGTCGGGCATGGGGCTCGTGCTTGGAGGACGGGCTCAAGTTGTCCTCACTGGTCACGTAGACGCTTCTTAGGTTGACGACTTGGCTACGCAGCGGTCGTCACAGGGTTACAACTTCAGCCTTGGCTCCGATTCTTTTTCGTGGCGGTCTACCCGCTCGTCTTCTGTTCTCAACTCCAGTTGTGAGGCAGAGATCTACGCAGGAGCCATGGCTGCACAGGAGTTACGCTGGCTGACCTACTTGCTGACCGACTTGAGAGAGCCGCCTCGTTCTCCTCCAGTTCTGTACGTCGACAACAAGGCTATGATTGCCTTGTGTCAGGAGCACAGACTGGAGCACAGAACGAAGCACATCGCTCTGCGCTACTTCCTTGCTCGAGAGTTGCAGCAGCGTGGTCAGCTTCGTCTTGTTTACGTGGCCTCTCAGGCCAACACTGCTGATATCTTCACCAAGGCACTTCAGCCTTGTAATCATCAGCGTTTCTGTACTGTTCTAGGCCTTGTGCCTACTTTGCCTCACTTGCTCACTTCTTGACTTTGCCTGTACTGTGATCTATATACTTATACCTGCATGCTTACGCTTGCTAGGTTGTGATCACTATACTGCTTGTTCTCCTATGTACATAACTCTGCATGTGGACTGGCCTTGTGGCGCTTTGCTTGTGCTCAGAATGCGTGGTGACTTCGTGATCCACCCTGAGCTTGCTTTGCCTTTCTTGACTGGTCTTGTGACCTTTTGTTCTCCCCCACTTTGCCTATGGGGGTGTGTCAAACTTATATGTTGCTTATTGTATAGGCTATAGTGGGGTAGCCCATATGGGGTACAACCCAATTAGGGTTTCCTACTTGTACCCATCCTGCTGCTAGTTCATCCATTCCTCGTCCTAGTTTCTGACAAAAGTGACCACGATGAACACCCATGTGTCATATTTGATGATGATGACTAAAATTTGTATTTAGTGCAACGTTAAAAACTATTCACCAGGGTTTGACATGCAAAATAGTGAACCCAACGCCAACTTGAAAGAGGGCTTGCCGTGCGAAACAATTTTGGAACCAACCCGTCAAG